GGTGGAACTAGAGGTCTCTTAAGTGAGAGGGATCCATCCTCTGATATTAACATCTAAGGTGCCCAACACCTGTACAACAATTCTTTACAGCAATGCTGCAGTGAGACTGCAACACTGAAGTAAACCACAGGGAGGTAATACTTCATGTCCTGACTTCACTGAGGTCTGTGCAAAGGGAAATAACATGCTCATGTTGTGGAATACAAACTAAATAGACTCTGGTGTTTAGTTCAGTGGCAGCTAGGCACACGCACACGAACACACACACTCTTTCAGTCTCTAAAACCTTCATTTTAGAGTAAAGGAGACCTCTTTCCTCTTCTATCCCTTCCTCTCCTATTGTTAAGGTTGATGGACTGAAGTGTTTGTGTTAACCATAAGGGTGCCATCCCTCTTCACGCTCCCTCAAATTGTCCCCTGGCTTTACATTTCCAGCACAAACTCTCTGTACATTATCAGACGCTCTGCAGCCTTATAGGTGTTCTCGCCTCCCCTGTGGCTGCTCAGCTTCAGCCCATCCATCTCTGAATTGACTATATTTAGACATATAGGACCGGCCTCGCTGCTGATGGGATTCATGGCCAGTGTGTATTAGCCTTCTAGCCTCCCATGGGCACTCATCTGCTGTGATTTAGTGGAGCTGAGAACCATGAATTTCAGTCAGGCACTTGAGGAGAAGCATCTGTGATTTATGCTTTTGTTTACAGGGTGCTGTGGGGACCTTAATTTGGCAGTGATGAGAGGTCGACTGTGTGTGCGTGTGTGTGTGTGTGAAAGCACTTGCAAATCTGCAAAAGTGTGTCTGATTTCTGATAAATAAGTGCATGAGGGGAAAAGAAGGAACTGAACTATGTGTTTATTTTTGACTTTTGCAAAGTTGGACAACAGAAAATTCCCAAGGGAGCCGAGCATCCACATGGGTTCCACGTGTTTTTGTATTTAGCAGTTAAGATGCAGTGTTAAGCAGAAGGAAGTTGGGAACCGAAGCCCAAATGGAAACTGCAGTGTTTTTATTCACCTGCAGGATACAGCATCTCCATTGTACATTTATTATGCAGTATTCCGAAATGCAATGAACTCAGGATAATCTCCTGAAATTATCTACAGGAGTATGTAAGAACCTCTTTATATATGGTGAGAACGCAAATGTCAGAGTCAGTCTGCTGACTGTTTGAGAATACAGCAGGAGATTATCCACAGGACACACCATGGATAAGTGGGAGTGTGGTTGACATTGCTAACATGTGACAGACGCAGAACTGATGTAAATCTCCAAATATATCAGGATGAGGTGCCATACACAAAGAAGGTGCCTATGTCAACTTGGAAAGACAATATTTAAGAATTTTAGTTGATACTAGCCGATGTCAGTGTTGATGTGCTGTAATAAAAAAACACCCAACGTCTGCAGCAGAGTTTATAGGTTTAGTACTGCATGCCGTGCCACCCCTCGCCCGCTCAAACGCTCCGGAAATGTCTGTGTTATTGCAAACACTATTGACCGGAGAATCTCCTGATGCTTTGTTTATCTCCTGCTGCCTTGTTCATGTGTGAAATGCAAACTCTAGAGAAAAGAGTGTGGAGAAGGAGTTTGTCTGAACGGCTCTAGTTACAGCCATCAGCATCACTTTGATAAACTTACCATTCATCATCCAAAGCAACCCATAAAGGTATGAGCCTAAATGTCATTCAACAAAGGATTGCTCCTAACAAAGTGCCGGTCAGATCGTTAGCAACCACTGATGCCCCCTTTGAAGGAATTACCCTTCATAAATGACACCCCTGTCCATTAGTGCATAAAATGGGCTGTTTGACTGCTGATGGAAACAGCCTCTATCAGCGCTCCCACACCTCTACAACCCAGCGACTGAGGATAATTACAGGAGGCACTAAGGAAGTGTCATCCATTATCTTTACCTTATAGGTCACCAACACACACCCAGAAAAGCTCCGCCAGGTCACACATAAATAATATATTCCTGCAACAACAATCCTGGTGACTTTAAAGTGTTGAGTGGTAACCTTGCTGGAGATGAGACAGGGTTCCACCTTTTGGAGGGGGGTGGGAGCAAAACGTTAGAAAGACACAAAGAGGTGTGAGAGGAAAAACCTGTTAGCAAGTGACGGCCTCTGCCAGGGCTTGTGTGCGTGTGTGCTTGTGTGTCTGTGTGTGTGTGTGTGTGTGTGTGTGTGTGTGTCATTTTTTTGTTGCAGGTTCTTGCTTGCATAGAGCTAGAAGCCATCAGGGAAGTTCATGGAGGCAGCTGGTCACTTCCTTCCGATACATGATTAAAGACTTTCTTATCCTGGCATTCAGTGGACTTCCTCCTCTCGCGTACCAAACTGTTTTCTGTTTCAGTTATGATTGTTGCTTTATTAATTTAGCATTTCTTTTGTTCCCCTGGCTTTGTCTTTCTTCTTCTTCTTCTCTGCTCAGTTTATTGGCAGGTGGCAACCAATGTCTAGGTGCAAAATAATGGATGTGAAAGGTGCCTTGGATCACTGTATGTACCAACGGACCAATATTTTATCTGACTAAAGAGGGGTGGCCTCAGTTTGGATCAAACTCAACCATGGTTATGTTCGTTGACAGTGTGATTTTTTAAATATATTTTTTTATAGTTTGGACCTACGGACCAATTGTAGGAAGTTGAGACTGCATTAAACAATACAAGAAAAAAAGAAGTAGAAGTGTCTGGAAGGATTGCTTGCAGTCTTCACCTCTTGACGATATAAAGTTTGAATGACAAGCACAACCATTTTAAACTAAGTGTGGAGTACTGCACTGGAAGCTGGTGATGCCAGTAGTAAAAAGGTCATATTCAAAAAGGTTAGCCAATAAAATAGCCAAATCTACAACACAGCAACATCAGATTCACACCTGTCCACAAACCAATGTCCAGTATAGGTAGACACAGCCCACGCAGCTGATGATGACACAACATATGGATGTCATATACAAGTCTTTAGTGCAGTCCCTAAATAAAAATGTGATACCAAAGCTAAGTGGATCAAATGTAAACAATGTAATAAGGACATTGGCTCAGACCTTGATCCAGACTGTCAGAGATGAACACCTTGGCTAAATGAAAAATTACTTTTTGCTTAACAAAAATTTTACTTTAACTAAAATAATTGGGTGTTCTTCCCAGATTCTCTAAATGCAGAACTGTTACAAAGCATTAGTCAATACATTTAGCTTTGGACCCCCTCAACACACAAACACACAGTCCTGTATGTGTGTCACAGTCACACTACGTCGACAGATAGCGTTGTTCTTGAAGACTCATTGTGGTAAAAAGGGGTGTCTGGTTTCCATCACATTTCTTGCATCAAAGAACAGAGTCTCATGACACTGGCAGGGAAATATTTCCCTAACTTGACAAAATGCCTAAAGTATAAGAAGTCTTTATACGAACATTCATTTCAAACATCAAAGCACGTCTGAAAATTAATCTAGTGGTTCTGCTCCCCACTGACTTTTACATCTTTATCTGACAGCCTCGGCAGAAAGCAGCAGGGCTTTGCTGCTGTCAGAGCAGAGCTTGTCTTGAACAGAGCTCTGATCAAGGTGATGGTCCAAATCAATAAAAGTTTGAGAAGAGAAATTGCCAAAGGCTTGCTGGGTCAAATCAGTCACCTGAAATTACTAAAGCAACAGGAAAAATGCCAGAAAGTAAAGCACATGATCTCAGACAAAGACATATGAAGACCAGCATAGAGGGAACACGGGCAGGAAATATCATCAGGTTAGACCTTTTGCCCTTTTCTTCCGCAGAGGAAGCTAACAATTGTGCATACACGTGTTGCTTATGCTTGGAAACAGAGACAAACAAAGACTGACTGAAATAGAATTTTATAATGCAGCTTCAAAGCAGCACCAATTAAAATAGTAAAATGTATTATGTAAATGGTAAAAAAAGTAATTGTCAGCTCAACAATGTTAAAAGCTTGGTTGATATTATTGTTAGTTTGAAAATATCTGAAGAAAGGCTGCTTTTAAACAACAACATTGAAAGTTAATTAAATTGATTTAAACTATTGTTTAGTTGATTAATTATTTGTTTCTTTATTACTTTTCTACCAGTGTTTCTATTGTTACTCTCTCCTGTGCTGCTGTTAGAAGGCAGATGTCCCCATAGTGGGACAAATAACATCTTATCTTGACTTATCTTATCTTTTCTTATCTGAGAGAAGTATTTCCTTGTGTTTTACTTTCTATAAATTTCCTGTGGAACACAGATGTTATCTGGAAGCTTTACTTCAACGAGGAACAATCGTGTTTGCATTTGAGAAGAGGGAGACTGGAAATCCACAGTTTCCTGTTTCCACACTGAAGCCCTCCTACAGTTTGTCATATAATATATATTTCAGGAACATTGTCATTTTGCCAGAGAGAACTTCCAGTAGCTTCTCTTCTTAAAACTCCTCTTCATAAAGAAAATTGGACCAAGCCTTGGACCAAACGCACCCTAAAATTACACTGGAAAGTTTGCCGTGCTGAGGCTGTCAATTTAGGGCAAGTCTGTTGTATTACTTTGGTGTCAAGGGAGTTGCTCCATGGCCGTTTGGGCCAAAACAAAATCATCAGAAATGTAATCCAGTTGAGAAAGTTCTCTTGCAGGGCTTCAGGCCTTTTTAAGCATTTGCCAGCATACGTTTTGAGGAAAGCTTGTCCCCACTGTTGAAAGACTTTTTACCAGAGAGCTTTAAACTAAATAACACATCAACAACAAAGATCAGCTTCACTCTCAGTTTTAACATCTGCAGGAAGTTGTGATTACTTCCAGTTGTTTTGCAGAAAAATTAAATTATTTTTATTAAATTATTTTCTTCTTCTTAACATTTCTAATCTCTTGGATTTTTCATACATGCTGAGGGAAAGTTGGTGCTGCTGTCAGTCATGCTGTGAAGTCACACACTTTACAAACATTACAAATTAAGTTTTATCTGCTATGCTAACACCAGATTGATAATTACAAAAGCAATGTTCCCCTTACCTCTTTCCTTTTCTCGTCGATGGCTGTTCTCCACTGGACTAATCCACTCTCACTACTCCACCTCTGCAGTCTGCAAAGTAGCATCAGTAGCAGTAATGAGCTGCTGAGTCACTTCCTTTGGTGAAACATATCATCTCTGAGATACCTTGACTTCTTATCTTCAGTGTATTCACTGTCGTCAGAAACAATGGTCTTCCTTCCCTCCCTCCTTCTGCTGCATTTAAGGGATGCTTGAGCATGTGTGCTGTGTGTTATAAGTTTGCTCCGGTGTTAATCAGTTATAACATGACAGCTGATATCAGATTTTTTATTTGTTTTGGTATTTTTATTTTGCTAACTTGTGTTATGGTTGAAATACATGCTTCAAATAGAGTCAATGCTGTAGTGGTTCCTAAAATGATGAAGACTCTTGAAATCCAAGCCAATTTAAATATAAACTCTGTGGTTCTTAAAGTAGACATGTTGATATTTATCCCCCACCTCATGTTCTCTGAGTTCATTAAACTGCTGTCAGATACAAACTATGGATCCGGACATTTCCCAGAGTTTGTCTTTCACAGCAGGATATTGTCTGGGTCAGACGTGTTCACAAGCACAGGAAAATATCTGGAACATTCTGGTGAGAGAGCCTGCAGGAGGGCAGGACGTATAAATTCCACTGCAGAAATCACATGTATTTGTTACAGCGCATCGACTCTGGCATCAGCCCTTATTGTCTTTACGAGTTGACATCTTCAGCTGTGTCTTCTTCGTGTATGGTACTTCAAAAGTTCAGTGCACGTCTGATGCCTCGTTTCCACACAATTTAATTTCTTATGCATTTCATATTCGGACTCCCCCTACTAATGTACAAAGGTTTTCGTAGTTTTCACCATCTGGTTTTGTGGAATATGCACCTTGAGTAATATCGGGGGGAAAAAGCACCAATATCACATGATTACAGATGAGTGAAAGAACATTGTTTATATCAGTTATGGTGTTATCATTATATCTATTGATACGTACAAGAAAATGAATGTATAAATTTTTTTTAATGAACTCTATCACATTTATTCTAATATTTTTTCAGCTAAATAAGATTATTGAAACTCACAATGAGTTTAACTGGCTGAACAAGTTTCTTATTTAATCATACAATGAGTTAACACCATTTGACTATCAACAACGTCCAATCACAGAACTCATCGAAATAGCTACTACGTTTTTATGCTAACTTCCTGTGGCAGGTAATGCAATATGTCTAACACCCACTGCAAAACCTACATAAGTTCAATGTACATGGAGGCAAAGAGCAAAACAAAAATATCTAAAAGTATCTCAACACATCGGAGATCATAGAGGTTACCACAGGAATGAATGCACTACTGGTTGACTTGCATATGGAAATGAAGTGTGAAGCTGTGAGTGTGACCTCCTGCACCATGTGTAGGATGTGGGGAAGTCAGGTCACTTTACAGAGGGCCAGTCTCCACCTCCACAGTGTAATAAGAGCTTCTAGTAAAACTCAGTTTGGAAGAGGTTTGCATTTTTATTCATCAGTGATGTTTTCACTCCTTAATGCTGGTATACAACACAAGAGAAACTGAAATAAAAATTGAACTCAACCTCATAATTAATTATTGAAGAAAGTTTGAGCCAATTTTCTTTCGATTTGAAAAAAACTCTAGACTCATTTCGAGGCACATTAGCCTGCCTCACCATATGCATTAGGAGGTACAGATTAAAGCTAAGGTATTCATCGCCATATTTTTTATTTCTTCTCAGTGCTGAAAGGTTCTGAGATTTTCCATTAGGACTGCAACCACACCAGCACAGCACAATTTAACCGCCCACAATGAGCTGCTGCCTCTGTACGGCTGCAGATGTAATGAGGTTTTAATGGACTTGTGTCAATAACATTTTACCACAATTTGTTGCACCATGTGTTTATGAGCAGAGTTACACTGATGCTCTACAACAGCTACTCTGAACTTTTAGGAACGACAGAACAAGTTGCAGCACTGTCGATGCAGCATTTTAATGTTATAGTTTGGTATAAATAATCAGTAACACATTTATTTTCTCTTCATCCCCTTGAGCGTTGTTGTTTCTAGTTTGTTCTTTCTTTTATTATAGAGGATAATTTGAATAAGAGTGCTTTGGTTGCTCTGGAACTTTGGACTTTCAGTTTAGTCTGAATCGAAACAAAGTTGTGAGAGATTTTTTTGGATAGTTTGGATTTACGGACCAATTGGAGAAAGTTGATTGTTATAGTCTTCACCTCCAAAGATATAATGTTTGAACAATGAGGTTGTTTATTTTCTGGTAGTACCATGTGGTGGTATTAAAGTGGTGATGAGATTACAAAATGGTTGGGTTCATTTATTTTCTCAATTCCAACAGAAAGACTCCTACTATAAGCCAAATTGAAAACACATCGATGTCAGTGACGCCTCAACAAAGCACTATTGTAGATAGACGCAGCCGGTGTAGGTGATGACGACCAGATGTACGTTTGTCATACAAAGGACTTTGTGTCACAGCCAAAATTGCACTGCAAAACCAAAACTAACCAGAACGAACCACTAACCTAACAATGTAACACGGACATGAACCTGGAGCTGAACCTTCACGTGTGAAAACGCACTAAGAATCTGGATTGGCAGATTGGCACAGTTTATTTCAGTCTTCATGAATGATAATAATCATTCCCGAAGAGATTTATAAAAGACTGATTATTGTCACGTGTAGATTTTATCACAAAAGCCTGATATTTATTTTAGATACTGCATACGATAACTCATTATTTCATTGTTAGTTTAACGTAGTGCTTTCCGAGACTCATGGAAAAGAACAACTTGAATATGTTAGGTGCACAGTGTGATCATTTAGTTTATGTGAAAAACCTAGAAGATGGACAGGAGGAGGCTGCTTTCCCTGCCATCTTTATTCAATATTCCTTTTGCCTCTTCTCTCCGTCTCCCCTGACTTTTTTCTGCCTTCACCCAGTGGAGGCCTCTTGGCAAAAATGAAGGGATTTCTATGCTAGTGGAGTTTTCTCTCATCAATCCTGTTTGCCATGCATCAGTCCCTGGCTGCCCCTCCCTCCCTCCACCCTATCACCCATCCATCCATCCGTCCTTCAGTCTGCCCCTTCGCATGCATCTCTCCTTCCACGGGTTGGCGAATTGATTGCGTGGAGCTTGTGGAAAAAGGCAGCCTCTGGGGACAACCGCTGAAGCACCGGTCTGCCAGGCCTTCTGTTTTAATGAAAAGCTAAAACCCCGGGTATCACACACACACACACACACACACGCACTCACACACAAAGCCCTCCTACATCCTGCCACGCACACAAACTGACACACACTCATGTGCACACACTGCAGAAACCTAGAGGGCAGATCTGAGTCCATAATTACCTATGCTGCACTGAGTCCCTGTGGCATTTAACGACTGGAGTTACCACCTTGTTTGCTTGCTGAATGGGAGATTTATGTGGGGATGTCGAGGTGATTCTGCCTTATGACAGAAGTGAGTGTTTGAGGTGAAAATTATATAAAAATAAGGAAGTTCACTTGTGTTTTAATGGTAGGTTGTTATTTTAAGAGTCACTTTTTGAGTCTTGCTAAAGCTCTTACATGGGTGGGGTCAGAGCAACTGGGAAACTAGAGAAGAACCTAATGTCTTACAAGCTGTTGTCTAACAGCGAATCGATATCATGTATTGATTGGTGCTGAGGATAAAGGCCTGTGGGTCGAGATAACGTGTTTGTACACAGTGTGTGTCTGGGTTGTGTGCAGCCTGTATTTCGGTGCATGTGAGTTCTACTACTGACAAACTAAAAATGAAGTTATATATAACTGTAATAACCAGTCAGCCAGTTTCATAATGTCAACAAGTTGTGAATACCAGCACTATAGCCAACATCCTGAAGTTCTCTCCAGTATATGATCAATATTATCAAACATAGTACATATTATAGAGGACAAATCCATGCTATAGTAGCCTTATATACAGTATAGCTTTATAAAGCTCTTTTAGTTGGTTGAATTATTTCAAAGCTCTAACAAGCTGTTACAGGCAAATTTCTCACACATATGTCATTACAAGTCATAGTGTCCCCCCCTGTAGAGGAGCTCTGCAGTTTTTCCCAACAATAACTGCAGTTAAACTTTGTTATAAGCAATGTACTGAAGTCTGTGCTCAGTGCAAATTGCAGCTCGTGGCAGTGCAGCAGCTCTGGTCTTAACTGTCAGATTAAGTCTAAGGTGTTGATGTTGTAAATGTGAATTAAAATCTTTTCTAAAGTTATCTCTGTTTTTAATAATAGATAGGAGAGTTTTTGGAGAATATAGACAAACATTCATTTCTAATTTGATGCAGCCCAGAAAGGCAGATTTTGTCCGCTGAAGTTGCTCAGCTGGTGTGTGTTTAGGTGTGTGTGCACACATGCACGTGCCTCAGCTTTGATTGGAAGCCAGACAGACAAGCTGTTTATTTTAGGAGTTGATATTTCTCCTTTCTCCGTTTTTGCATTCCTCCTCAGCCCTCCATGCTGCCGCATTTGGCCGATCAATAATGTAATTCTTAACCAGCGCCTGCTGCGCGCTGAAGTAATTACCTCCTCCATTATCTGACCACATCTCTCATTATACTGTAAGCAGCCTTCATTAGGGCCACAGGCAGAAAGGCATGTGGGGGGGGGGGGGGGGGGGTCACAGAATCACATACACACACAACCACTCACAAGCATGCTTAACATGCACTATGTAGAATTATGCCCAAGTGATCGAGAACACAAACAGACAGACACCTTCCTGCACTTGCCTCTTCACTTCCTCTCCTCTCTCCTCTCTTTGCCCAGTCAATCAGATCGCCATTAGCCAGTATTGGTCCCAGGGGCTCGTCTCTCACATAGTGCACATCTATGAGAGCATTTCCATTCAGCAAGATGGCTCACCTCGTCGCCTCACTGTGATAGCACAGCAGCCCAGGGGAAATAAAGACTGTCGTAGCCAAATCAAATCCGCAGCTCAGTGG